GGACGGAGGGGAAGAGCCGGGAGGGGGGGAGAGCCGGGAGCGGGGGGAGAGCTGAGAGGGAGGAGGAGATGGAAGGGGTGAGACGGAGAGAACTGGAGACGGGGAGGGAGGGAAGGGGAGGGGGAGGGTTGGGGAAAGGGCCCAGGAGCCAGATCTGGAACCTTCCCATGTCTCCTTGGCCTAGACTAGTGCTCCTCAGGCCTGACAGGGTGGTTAGGGAAGAAGCTGGTGCAGGCATCACCTTTAAACCCTGGGGCGGAGGGGTGAGAACTTGCCTTTCCTGAACTCAGAAAGTGCAGTGAGACCAAGGAATGTTCAGTTGTTCAAGTTAATACTATTCTTGGAAAGCTACTTCGCAGATATTTATGTCACCAGTATATGAAGTTCACTACCTAGGCCTGCCGTCCCGTGGGACACTGAGGCTGAGGCAGGGGGACTGCTGGCAGGTGCCGGCCTAAGCTGAGACCCTGTCTCAGAACCAAGGCAGTGGCACCACGGGAAGCAGATAAAAGGTTCGCCGACTAGAGCCAGAAGCAGCGGCTTGCTAATAGGCACTTAGTAGGTCTTTGCTAAATGCATTGAGGTGGAGAAGTGCCTCTGACTGGCTGTGCTCTTTCAGTTCCTCACTGAGATGTTTACACATGAAGTGTAGCAGGTGGACTCAGGGTGCTTTAGGAACTGCGGAAAGCATTTTTCTGCAGTATAGGATTACCAGCATTTAAACTTGAGACCTTCCAAGGGCACCTAACTTGAATACTTGTGTGTGTAAAGACATTGTTGCCCCAAAGGAGATCAGTGACAGCTGGTGACAGGTCTCAGTCCTCGGGACGTGAATGCTTAGTTCTCTTCTGAGGTGTTTCTGCACCCTCAGCAGTCCTAGAAGGAGGGCTTGCAGTTTAAGTTTGTGTTCTCTCTTTGAAGAAAGTTTAGGAAATGAGCTTTTTCTCTTTTGGGTCCTGTAGGCTCCTGGGGGAATCGCTACACCACCCGTGTACGGCCAGCTTCTGGCTCTGTATCTGCTCCATAATGACATGTAAGTACCTGTGCCTGCAGCGGAGAGCAGAGCTGGACCACCAACAGCACAGGGAGCTGTGCTTCCTGGTGCAATGCCTGCAGCTCTTTCCTGTTGCAAGCGCACAGGACTGAAGCTCGTACACCTTTAGAAAACATGGCAAGTTATTGTGAGAAACAGCAGTTCAGCAACCACTGGCCTCGCCTTGACTTTCTTACAGCACCTGTTTACTGGGCTCGATATGTAGTCAGTAGACCAAATGAAGATGAGCTGAGAAAGTCAGGATCAGTTCGTCACTGCTGTGTCTCCTCCGTCCTCCTCGGGAAGAGGCGGGCCTCACAGCTGCTGGGGAGCAGGAGTCTGCTGTGGCTCTCAGACCAGCCAGTGGAGTTCCGTGTGAAGGCCTCCCAGAGCCTTTTTTGTCCTTTTTACAGAACCCAACCTGAGATTTTTCAGTATATGTGTAAATTGTTTCTTCACTCTTTTAGCGCTACTATTTTGTAGTCCTGCTACATTTGTCCCACCCCCTTGCAAAGTGCCTGCTTTAACATTTTGGAGGCTGCAGGCACTGGGCAGCTCTGGCACACACTGTCAGGGACTTGTCAGAGCCTTCTAAGTACATAAATGTGTTTCAGTGCTGCAATGGGCAGCTTTATGTAAGTTTCTGGTTTTAGTGTGTTGCCTTAGGTTTGGGTAGGAACCATTAATATTAAAACTTCAGCGAAATAATTACCTTGAAAAAAGTGTTTCATGTCTGTCCATCTGGAAAACCATTCTCATTGCCCCAGAACAAATTCTTATGAGACTAAACTTTACTGGGGGTCCTGTCCAGTGTTGGAAAGTACTCCTCGGTGCCTTGCCTTAGACCTAGTCATTTGAAGTATTTCCCGAGATGACTACTTTTCTTTTTGTAAAACAGGAATAATGCAAGGTACCTGTGGAAGAGGATACCGCCTGCCGTGAAGTCTGTGAGTGTCCAGTACCGTTACCGCTTTGATCCGGGAGTGCAGCTGTCCGTTCGTGCTTCCTTTGCCTGTCACAGACATAGTCACTAAACTGGCATGAAAGTTACAGACATTCCAGTTTCTGACAGGATGTACAGAAAGAAACCCGTGTTCACCGCCTGCACATGAGGCTTCTGAGGCCCAGTTTGCAGACCTGCCCTTGCCAGTTCTCACGGCGGCCGGGTCTGGATGCAGGCCGTGGTGGTGGCAGCTGAGTGCTGAGTGGGTTTCCTTAATGGTTGTTGTTTTGAAGCTATTGCTTGCATGGATATTCATAGCACCGAGATTAGTTTTGTTAATTAGATTTCTTACTTCGTTGGCGGATTAAATGGAATGACCTGAGGAATATTCTTCCAAACAGGAAGAAGTGCAATTTCAATTCCAACGGACACTTCCCTTCCTTTCCTTGAGAGTCTATGCATCTTCGTTAAGCAAGGAGGCATCGTTATACCACAGTACCCTTAGGCTCTTTGATGGACCCTGTTGCTAAGCACCTTACTGTTACCTTTATCTTAACTATAAGTAAATGGCAGCATCTTTAAGTTTAAACAGAGTCGGTGCTTAAGGTGGTTGGTTGGTCCCCAAACTTAATTCTGGAATTTTTTTTACTTTTTTCTCTTGCTTTTAATTTGCAATTGTAATAAAAAATTTATTAGATATATAAACTCTTGAAATGCTCATAGCATTTAAAACCTTTAAGAATCAGGAGCATTCAGTCTGTGGCCATCGCAAAAGATGTTATCTGCAAGTTAATGGTCTAGGTCTGTACAGTCATGTTACCAAGAAGAAAAAGAAATAAATTGAGGGAAAAAATCCTCAGTGTTTTAAATAAGTCACAATTCACACCTCTTCTCTGCCACAGAGTTGCACACACCTGTAGAAAAGTCATCATGTCGTGTAAGAGACACGTGTGTAATGGCACAGATACCAAATTTATGTCAGTTCTGACATTTTGTTTGAGGATAAAGTCATTGGTAATTGCAGAGTAACGCCTTCAAAGGCAGTACTGTTTATTGCAGGCAAATTCTGAACTTGGGGGAATTTGGTCAGTAGGACAACGAATCTGGCAGAGAGATTTCCCTGGAATCTACTCAACCATCAATGCCCACCAGTGGTCGGAGACTGTCCAGCCAATAATGGAAGCCCTTAGAGGTAGTGTGCATGCGTGTGTGGGTGTGGGTGGGTGTGTGGGTGCATGGGTGTTGAATAGATAGTTTCTGTTTTCAGAATTTATTTAGATCGGCTCTCGTGATGCTTTTTCTTATGGCTTGTGAGTGCATCAGGAACTGACTGTTCCTTCTAGATAGAAATTTCTCTGCTGGTGGTGACTGTCATCTTTTCCTTCATTATATTGGGGTCTCACTGTTGCCCAGGCTCTCCTGTACTCATTCATGATCTTCTCTCTCCTATAGGGATGACAGATGTGTACCCCAACATGTGGCCTTGTAAAGGGTTCCTTGCTCTTAAAATGAATCTGCTGTGGATTGGTCAAAATTTTTCAAGCCCACGTATTTGAAAACAAGAGGCTGGACGTGGGCTTGTAGGCATTAGCCTTGGTAGATGTTGTGTCCGGTGTGTGGATTTTCCAACTAACCTGTTCAGGGTCTAGAGGCTCAAATGTGTTTTCAGGGGCTGTAAAGATTCCAGGTGGGGTGTGGCGGACTCCTGCCCAGGATAGGTCTCCCTGCCTCCTCTCTTACCCCCTGCATGCTTCCAGTCATCTGTCAGGTTCGCACAGCGTCTCTTTCATCTGCACTCTGGCTGGCACGTCACTCTGTAACCATTCTGCCTTTGCTGTGCACCTTCAGTCAGCCAGCAGGAGCCCGCTGCCACACTCATCCCTGTGGTGCAGACCTCAGCAAACGTCAGGGACTGCTCGGGAGCTGGGTGCAGTCAGTTCTTGGGATGACTGAAACCGTATCCTCTTACAACAGGGCAGAGTAAAGGACAAAGCAGGGCCAGCTGCTGTGGATGCTCACAAAGATGAGCAGGGTGGACGGGGGACTGGTGGACTGTGGCACGAGGTCTGGACGGAGAAGGGCAGAGATGAATTTCAGTATTTAGGAAGAATGAATTGGGGCTTTATAGGAAGAGTTACGAACAGCAGGAGCAATAGCACAGGTTGGTGTTTCAGTGCACAGAACAGCACAGACCAAAGTGCAGGCGTGAGAGTGTGCAAGGCCCGTCCGGGCCAGGGGACGAGTTCGGAGCAGAAGGTGCCTGGGGCCTCGTACCGGTTGTTCGCAGGGTCCCGGGAGTGCAGAGGGGATTTCAGTGTAGTGAGTTTAAATGCCATTGACCTCTCAGGAATGGAATCTAAAATCCTGACACGTTCTAAGTAGGTGGACAGCCTCATGGAGGAGCCCTTGTGTTACCAAAGAGTGCTGAACAGGAAGAGAAGTTGGCTGGGTTGGGTGGAAGCAGCTGTTTCAGTCCGGAATTTACTTAGTGCAGATACGTGAGCATGGGGAAAGCCCCACGTGCCATGTCCAGTCTGTGACCAGTGCCAGGCAGCGTGGCACCTGTGAGCACCTACGTTCGGGGCTGGAGGAAGGGCCTTCGCTGCTGCAGGCTCGGACACAAGGAACGGGCTCTGGTGAGACGGGGAGTCCTGTGTCAGAGGTCCCCTAGCACTGCAACAGGTGTTTCCAGCTCATTCTTGAGTGGGTGAGTGGCATAGGAGAGATTACGAGAAATTTGAAATTTCATATCCCACATTCACATGTTTCCTAAGATTTGCGTCTGGTCACTGTTTTCCATCTCTGACTTGCATTGCATTGCCACCAGATGGAAGAAGTGTGGGAGTGTGTGTCCACTAGCAGTTCCTGAGCCCCTCTCACACGCTGGGCACATCTCCTTGGGCTGATGTGGTCTTGATCATAAATACAAACCTGATGACAACAGAACTGGGTGAGACTTGTGTTTAAGATGCCTGTTCTGGTTCATTCTGCCAACCCTTCCCCTCCGTACTAGATGCCACGAGGAGACGCGCCTTCGCCCTGGTCTCTCAAGCGTACACCTCCATTATTGCTGATGATTTCGCAGCCTTTGTTGGGCTTCCTGTAGAAGAGGCTGTGAAAGGTACTTCGAGTGTACATTTTCCTTACAGGGAAACAGAAAACAGTGGTGTCAGTTGCAGGCTCACAGTTCCTTCTTTGGAACTCTCAGAACAGATGTGATTTTGGAATGTACATGGCATTTGCTTTCTGGGAAGGTGATAGAAAACAGAGTCTGCATCCACCCCCCAGCAGGGACCGGATAGCCAGCGCTCCTGAGTGACCGAGCGTGAGCTGCCCTGTAGCCACTGTGTGCCAACACTGGCCCAGCTGGTTAGGAAGATGCGTCCTAACCGACGGCATTGCTCACATCGAAGTCCTTGTTTCTCCCCTCCCTGAGAAGGCGTCTCAGCCCCACGGTGCGTCCGCACTCATTTTTTCCTCTGCTTCTCACCCGCCACCCCACATACCTGTTACCAACTCCAAAGCAGCGGGTCGAGCAGTGCATAGACTTTGCTGCAGTTTTTTACAGTGATAGACATTTTTGATTTGCCAACTATGTGAGTTTCACCAAATATCATTTCTTATTCTTCAGTTTCCAGACCCTAGCAGAGTTCTAGACACATGGCCCTGGGTGCTGGAAGCAAGCCGTGGCGCATTGCTTTGTTGTATTTTGTTCTGTGGGAGCTCATTTTAATGCTGGGCACTGAGCCCAGGGTCTGAATTGTGCTAAGCACACGCATTACCACTAAGCTACAGCCCAACCCTGAAGTCCCTGTGTTAAATAATGCTTTTACTCTCTCATAGAAATCTTGGTTTTCACTCTTAAAATTGATCTCTCTGTTACCCAGTCGGTACGTGGACACTCCATAACTCATGCACTCAGCAGACTGCCTAGGCATGGGTCACAGCTACCCTGTTCTGCACGCTTGCTATGTGACCTAAGAAAAATCACTTAAGTCCTTAAGCTCCCCTTTCCCTACTTAAAAGGTGGTTGGATGCCGCACCGTACAGCATTCTGACAGACAGTACACTGGTCCCTGCAGAGCTTCTTTGCTAACAGGGTGGTACAGAGGCATCTAGAAGTTTTCCTCCCGATCAGTTTAATAGTTTATAGAAAGGAAGCATCTGTTAGTGGCTACGGTGGCCTCAGAGAGTAAAATTAGGTTTGATATATGCAGAAGTATTTCAGAAGTAAGTTTACATGATCTCTGGTAACTGTGGTAGTTGAAATATCGCGAGGTTGAGCTGAAAGTTAGTCTCCCAGGGAAGTGACAGGACAGAAGTGAGTTGTTGGTGTCCTGCCATCTCCTCATCTGCCGGGAAAATTCGCTTTCAGGAATCCTAGAACAAGGGTGGCAAGCCGACTCCAACACCAGGATGGTTCTTCCCAGGAAGCCAGGTAGGTGGAGCCCGAGCCCCCACGGCCGCCCTTGACCTTGGCTAAGACTGCTTCCGTCAAGCTCCAAGACCTGAGGTGTGGTGTGATGTACAGCTTATGCTAATAGTGGGGCCAGCCCTCATGTTAAATGCAGAGATGAAACAAAGATGCTTGGTGCGGCAAGGGTCTTCACCATCGCCCAGTTCTTAACTTTAAGCGTGTGTTTCTTGCATGAAAGCATTAATTATTACGGAGGTGTGGCACTGCTGTGTGTGGATGTCCTTATTAGAACGTAACGAAATGGTGCCTGTGCTTTAACTGTGGAGCCGTTTCTAACTGCGTGTCCTTAGTAACTAAACTGTGGCCTTCTGAAAACACCATCACAACCCTCCTGTCTCGGCTGCTCTTTCCATCACTGCCCCAAACACCTATTGTCCAGATCGGATGAGGCGCATCATCATCCCGTTCTAGACCCGGGGGTTCACACACATGCACAGTGCAGCTTGCAGGCCTGGCGGGGTCCCTGCGGGCTGCCCTCTGATTTGATTGTCCGTTTCTCTCTTTCAGTCGCAGGGGCCCCGGATGTTTCCTTTAACAGGTTTATTCCCCTATCAGGTGTGTACTTCAGTGTGGTCATGTTTAAGCTATTTCATTGTCCCCTGGTTTATTTTCTGTATGTGTATATGCTTTTCTTAGTTTTAAAAACCAGAGATTAAGTCCCGTACACTTATAGTAATACACTTGGGTTATAAGAGTGAAACTGGCCGGGCATGGTGGCGCTCACATTTAATCCAGCAAACGAGGCAGAGGCAGGCGGATCTCTATGAGTTCAAGGCCAGCCTGATTTGCATAGTGAGTTTCAGGCCAGCTGGGACTACGGGGAGACTGCGTCTCAAAAAGACAAAAAAGTAGAGAAACTGCAGGTTCCCCTGTAGCTTGGCTGAAATGGTGGCAGCCATGTATGTGCCCGGCCACAGACCTGTGCCATTGTGCCAGGGCCTCCTGCAGCCGCTGGTCCACTTGGGAGAGCTGGGCTCACAACAGTGGGGACTGCTTGCTTGTTGGACCTGGCAGGCCTGATTTTGTCTAAAACAAGTAGAGCTCAGAAAGTTGCCTTACTAGGTTAAAGACATGGCTGGGCTGGTGGCAGGTGGAAGCGAGCTGTCGCACCAGTGTCTAACTTGAAGTGTTTCTCTCATCACCATGCAGAGCCGACCCCAGTTCCACCGATCCCCAACGAACAGCAGTTAGCCAGACTGACCGATTATGTGGCTTTCCTTGAGAACTGACGGATCATTCTGAGCTCAGGCTCGACCTTCAGAACCCTGCACGCCGACAAGTGCAGAAACGGGAAGTTTTTATTTTTACTTAATAGAGTAAGCAGCTCAGCGCTCCTCACTGAGAGTGTGATAAAACAACATGCTATAAAGTGTATTACAAACAGTGCTGAGTAGTGGTTGAAGCAGTCCTCAGTTCATACTATTGAACACCGGTTGGAGGCCATCAGTATTACGCTGTTAGTTTATAGTCCCAGCAACCAAGACGCAGGCTCTCCTGCTTCCTGTAAAACTGGGGTTGCCATAGCATCGCCACACTCCACACCACTGACCCTAGCTGTGGTGACGTGTTTGGGGTTTGAGGACTGTCTCAGGGCAGTGCCTGGCCTCCAGGGTTGTGATTCACTTGCAGAACAAAATCCTGATGTGGAATGTAGACAGGCCCTGCGGAGCAAGTCGACCCACTTCCAGTAAAGGAGCTTGCTAGGGCCACACTTCTCCACGAGGGTGCCAGCATGGCTGGCCGTGGAGGGTGTGCCTCGAAAACTCAAGCTAAGCTCTCCGTGTGCAGTGCTGGGTTCTGACGTCAGAGGGGATGCTAGGTGTGGCGTGCAGTGTGGGGAAGGGAGCAGCTGAGGGAAGTGGGCTGGGCCGCCTCCTGCTCTCCAGTTGCCGGTTCTCTGAAGACCTGCGGAGTGGAGCGAGGCCTTCCTTCTCTGACAGCCCTTTGAAAGTCGCAGTTGCTGTGTCTATAGTTGAAATGCCCTTTATGCATTCGTTCTGCGTTTGTTCAATAAATCTTTAATTGAATTCTCAAACTGTTTGATCTAAAGACGTTTCTAGAAACCTCACTACTTGGTCTTTCTGTGGACATGTTCTGCCTTCTGCATTCTCTCTGTCTCACAAAATGAGAATTCCTTTTTTTAAAGACAGTTTAATATTTTAAAATTTTTTCTTTTTTATTGTTTGAGAATTTCATATATGCATTTAGTGCATTTTGATCAAATCTACCTCTTTCCCTCCCCTCCAATTGCTCTAGAATTTCTTGAAAACTACCCTACCTGTAAGTCTTCATATTCTGGTTTTAATTCATTTTATTAGCTCTTTAAAGTCATACTTGGAAGTACAACTTTTTTAAATCCTACAGAAATATTTTTAAATTATAATTTTATTTAATCCTCAGATGATTGTTTTGCGTTGTGGAACTGGAGACCTAAGAAGTCAGAGTATTAAGGCCAAGGGTAATGGCTTTTCAACCTGGTGCCTCCAGCCCCTAAGTATCCATGGCCGTTTTTAATGGCAGCTGGAAAGGGACCCAGCTTCAGTGGACTGGTTGCAGGTGACTGCGGCTGTGGGAGAGATCCGGAGCTCGGTGACCTCCAAGCGGGACAGGAAGGCCAAGAGCTTGTGCAGTGATGGTGAGGACAGCAGGGGGGTAGTGGTTTAAGGTGTGCATGCCTACATGTCACCTACATGGCAGCCACATACCGCCTACCTACACACCACCTACAGAGCATCTACATAACTGCTTGGGTTTCACACAGCAGCACTGAAGGAAAAGGTGGAAACAACTGATCACTGAAGGGTGAGGGACAGCTTCATGGAGAAGAGGCCATTGCCTCAGGTGGCTCAGTGTCCTGGCTGCGTCAGCGCCACGTGTGCCAAGGCCACACTTGAGATGCTGAATATGGTTTTATGGTTAGTTTGTAAAGTAATCTTGCATCTTCATCATATTAAAATTGTGCTGCAGAGTAGTAGCCATGTCACCTTGCTGGAGGCAACTGACCTTACATTTGACTTGCAAATGTCACGATTTTTCTTTGTAGGTGGTATTTCCTCCCTCCTTCCAACTGGCAAGGCCCAGACTGATTAGAGTGCACGAGTAACAAACATCACTGGTACCAACAGTGGTAAATAAGTCCCATTTCCAGCTGACAGGAGGGAGAGCTTACAATAGCTAGCTCTAGGTCCAGGAAGTCAGTCCGCAGTGACCGACCAACCTCATCCCTGTCTAGAAGGGTTGGGCAGCACCTGCTCTGCTTTCTTAATTGTCATCTTTCAGAGCACAGCAGAAATGAACCCGAGGGTGGTTGGCCAGCAGATGACAGACAAGTCCGTGTGGAAGAATTTCACCTAGTAAATGAAAGCCAGAACTCCAGGTCCCAGGCATCCTGTCCTGGCCTGCAAGACCACAGGGTGATGAGACGGAGCCTAAAGTGTACCCAGCACCACATCAGCCCCTCTGCCTGGCTGCCTCCAGTCAGGCAGACAGCACCTGCTATGGCCGCTGGGTGGCTGTGGGTCTTTCCACTGGTACTACCACTGGACGTGTACTGGGTGAGAGTGAGCCCCTCCTGGGGCCTCCTTAGCTGTGGGAGACCTGCAGGGAGTAATGCCCCTGTGGCCTCAGGAAGATGACAGACATTGTCTGCCCTTGACTCCTCATCACAAGGTGGTGTCTCAGGACGTTCTGCAGGAACTCTAACCCTTCCACATGGTGCTGTCTGCATCTGCCCTCTGTGACCCCCCCTCAATCTTGTATGTTTGCGTACAGAACCAGTACTTTGGAGCTGGAGAGATGGCTCAGCAGGTAAGAGCATTTTCTGCTCTTGCAGAGGATTTATACTCCTAAAATTAGAGTTTAAAAGAACAACAAAAAAGTATTCTGTGTCAGTGTTTTACCTGTGTGCATATAAGTGTGCCACATGCATGCAGTGCTCACATGGGCCAGGAGAGGGCGTTGAAGCCTTGGAACTGGAGTTACAGACAGTTGCTAGCCATCATGTGGGTTCTGGGAACTGAACCTGGGTCTTCTGCAAGAGCAGCCAATGCTCTTAACCACTGAACCATCTTTCCAGCCCCTGTCAACTAAATTTTTTTTTTTTAATTTTTTAAAGCCACAGCACTGTGGCCTGGCCCCCTTGGACTGCACCTAGTTCAGCTGTGTTAATACTGAGGAAACACTTCCTGCCCCAGTGTGGCACAAACAGGCTTCTGTGCAGTGGTCTGACCACAGCACCACTTTAGCACCAGCCTAAGTACCGTTTTGCCTTGACGTTTCCTCTGCCAGCAAATCAGTATGTTACTTTAAATACCTTCACCCACAGTTTTGGGACGGGAACAGAATGAAGTGAGATTCTTGGCCAAAGTATCACACAAATGGCCCCAGCCCAGTTCCTGATAGTCCTGGTCCCCCTTTGCAACCTCATGAGCCAGACATCCACTTTAATCTCAGCTTTCCTGTGTTCCAGGCTCCCACAAAATGACCCAGCAAGCTGTTTCCAGCATCCAACCAATTTCCATTCGAATGCCCAAACATTCTCCCCGTCACCCCCAAACCAAATACTTAAAAGCCACAGGGTCACGTCTGTCACGCAGTGGCCCACTCCCTCCGTACCGGTTTCTGTCCTGGTTTCCTTTCTATTGCTGTAACAAAAATACCCTGACAGAAAACAACCTGGAAGAGAAAGGGTTTTAGCTCACAGTTCCAGTCCATCGTTTGAGGATGTCAAGGCGGGAACTTGAAGTCACATGAAGTGCAGAGGTGAGCGCATGAATGCTTAGCGCTCAGCTGGCTTCTGCTCATGCATTTCAGGGCCCAGCCAGGGGATGGCACAGCCCACTCTCAGGGTGAGTCTTCCACACCAGTGAAGGCAGTCAGGACAACCTCCCACTGTCAGCCTGACTTAGATAACCCCTCATGGAGACTTCTCAGGTGATCCCAGTTTGTGTAAGATGACAAAACCAACCATCGCAGATAGATTGCGGACCTCCTTCTGAAATGAATGGCAGGGATGGTGCTGAGTCGCAAAACAGGCTCCTGGGTTGAAGTTCCTTGAGGTCAGTTCACAAGTGCGTCAAAAACAGCAGCAAGTGAACTCATGCAGTGTGTAAAGCCTAATGCACTGAGGCTGCAAAGGCTAAGGTTGAAGATCAGCCTTTCAGGGACTGGTTCTGGGCAGATTTTCCATTGCTCGAGAATCTAGCAGCCTGGGGGGTTTGAACCCTTCACTGGGGCTCGGGTGATGAAAATTGGGAACTGGAAAGGGCTGAACTGCACACTTCTTCAAGACACCTGATACAGTTGTCAGCTGCTTTGGGCAGGAGACCAAAGGGTTAAAGACCCGTGAGCAACAGCTCAGTTTCCTGGTGATCTGTGCTCTGGTTCTTTTGTCACACATGGTGTGGGTGAGGGTAGAGGTGTGCCTGTAGGTAGGAGCCAGGGCTAGGGCTTCAGGAAAACTAGTGGAATGTGAGTCAGCACAACATTCACCTGAAGCCCTCAAGGAAACAGCACGGACTCACATACACAGCAGACCCTGGTCATGGACAGCATTCGATTCCAAGGAGCAGAGAGCACAGCGGGAAAGAAAAGACTCGGAGACAGCGACCCAAGATGTTCCAAAATTTGTGAGGGAAAATTAGGCCTTCGATTAAAGGCTCCGAAAAACCTGGCAGAGCAAATGTGAAGAAAACCACACCAGGAAATGCCCGAGTGAAACTGAAAACCCAAAGACGGCCCGTGAGAACGGCAGGCACAGAGGCCGGCACTGCCTTCACATCAGCAGCAAACCTAGAGGACGAAAGGACACAAGTCCTAGCCATTATTTCAATCTGTCTCCACTGTTAAAAGTTGGGAAAAGATACACTAGATAGGTGGTGCGGCTCCAGTAATGTTACCAAGGCAGCAGCGAGCGGTGGCTCACCCCTGTTATCCCAGCACTTAGGAGGAGGATATGGGAGGATCACAAATTGAGAGTCTGCCGCTTTTTTTTTTAACTTTTAAAGAATCTTTATTGAGAATTTCATACATGCATATAAACTGTTTTGATCAAATCCATACCCACTCCCTCCCCTCCTATGCCTCCCATATCTCCCCATCACTTCTTTGATTTGTTTTTATGGGGCTTTTGGCTACTCTAACATTCCCCCCTCTGAAGAGGTAACCCTAAAATCTTTTAAGGATTAGATACAAGCTCCCAAATACTTCTGACATTTTTGGCCTTTGGAACAGAGGATGTTGCTAACAGGCTCAAGGACATTTTGACTTTCAGCCCAGTAACTGGCTACATTTCTTTGGGGTCTTTTTACCCTAACTGCCTAGCCAATTCCTACCTCCTATTCTTACACCATCCTCTGAAGGGATAACCCAAATTGCCAATAGGGAACAGGGGTGCAAACTTCTCTGGCATCTTCCATGCTGTACAGGGACGCAGAGTGAGGCAATTGGGGTACCCCTTCAGTGGGTCTATCTAAAAGAATCCCAAATTGCATAGCTCTTATCTCTAAGGGGAAAAGAAAGTCCTTGACTGGTGAAACGGAGATGTGAAGGAGAAGTAAAGGCCAGAGTAACTAGCATTACAAGTTCTACACAGGGAACTGGAAAAAAGTTAGAACAGGGCTATTTTCAAATGTTCACATGAGAGTCCATTGGAATTTCTTGACAAGGGCTTCCAAAAGCATCTCTCTATTGGGTTCCTCCTCATTTTTCTTTTGTCTACCAAGGTTGGACTCAAGAGTGATGGATTCAGGATTTGCCTTCAGGTATTTCGATAGCTGTTGGAGTGGTTAGAATCAGTGTCAGTTCCTCTCAAAGGCTTCTCTCATTTTTCTTTTGTCTGCCAAGGCTGGACTCAAGAGTGATGGATTCAGGATTTGCTTTCAGGCATTTTGGGAGCTATTGGAGTGGTTAGAATCAGTGTCAGTTCCCTCTCAAAGGCTTCAAGATAGGGGGAGAAAACAAATTTATCCATCATTTTAGAACAAGAGCTGGTTGTCTCCCTTAGCTACATCTGAGCAGCACTTTCTGGTTAGGAAC